AGATCCCACACCATTTGAGCAATCGGCGTCAGATGAACAGCCATGGGTGGCAATCGTGCATTCATCAAAATCTTACATAGATGAAAAGAAATTAACGGTGAGCCGACAACAATATAACAAAAACCTAAACTTATCTGATTTGGTGTCCTGTTGACGCCTTTTTAAAGCTCTGCCGTTAGTCTATCAGCCTGTGTTTACCTACTGTTACTCTTCAAGTGTCTGTCATTAACCACATTCCCTTCATCTGTCCGTCCGAATATCTGCCTCGCTGTCAGCCCTTAATAATTGAGTTTGACCGCTTGTCTTACTCATTCAGTCTGTTTATTTGACTCGGCCATCAGTCCATTTGTCTGAGCAGAAATATACCACTGCACTTACCTTCACATGTATAACCATCTCCGGTATAACCAGATTTACACGTACACTGAAATGGTTCCATGGCATTTGAGCAATCGGCGTTAGGAGAACAGTTGTGAGTGTTCATTATGCATTCGTCAACTTCTACAGCGATAAAACAGCAAAGCAATTGACTTTGAAAAATGTTTTATAGAGGACGCCTGTGTGTCAGGCATAAAGAAAAGAGCGTAAAAAGAGCACCAAAACTGCATTTGGATGCGGACCATATCACCTGAATTACAATTTTCCCCACATTTAATCTCTGGAAAAATGCATTGGTATCCATGTTCTCCAAATCCTGCTTGACATGTCAAGTTGTTCGCACAAGGGTTGCTCTGACAAGCGTTCTAAAGGTTGACATGAAATAAATCACCTGATTTTACTTAAATAGCCCCCAACCATTCTCAAATACCTGGCGTGAGATCTGGTTGGTTTATGGTTGATAGCCTTAATCCTTAATGATCATGAACATCTTGTTAACCAAGATATCGAATAATGATATAAGTAAAGGTAAAGTCTACTTACGAGCCATGTGGCTCATCGGGCCGGGGCTTAACTCCGGTTTCCGTAGCATGAAGCGGCTCGGAGTAATTCTACCCCCCTCTGGATGGGATGCTAGTCCATCACAGGGTTACCCCCAGCATATTAGCCGATACCCATTTATTCCCCTGGGTGAAGAGAGGCACTGTGAGAGTAAAGTGTCTTGCCTAAGAACACAACACAATGTTCCCGGCCGGGGCTCGAACCCGGACCACTCGATCCGGAGTCGAGCGAACCAACCATGAGGCCACCGCGCCTCGACGAATAATGATATAATGGCCGGTTATTGGGTATTGTTAGTAGATGCCTATAATGACACATCTGCTTGGGTCAGGTGGTGATGGGAGGCAGTCAACGATGGAATAAAAAATAGTAGCTGTATACTTTTCCGTGCCACCCAAGCTCTACAGCATTAATTGGTGGATGTCAGACTTAGCATACTTACATCAGTGATGGGACTGTAGATATATTCATCTTTCACCTGTAGGTCGTCGGAAGGGACTTGCAAATGGGTCTTGTTGCTCAGTTCACAGACAAAGTTTCCTTCTCCTGATGGACCATAGTTGTAAGACACACAATTTGGCTCCTGGTAACATTTCAACTCGCAAATATCTCTGTCCAACACTTGTTCACTTTGGATGACGTGGTTTGCTAGAGCCACATTTTTTTTTTGTTCCCTGAACTGAATTATGCGACATCCATCTAGAAAAGACGAAAGCCACTAAGTTACTACAGCGCCTTCAGGTTGGAATAAGACATCATTACAAATGGTTTGAAAATTGGGGACTATCATCGGATATTCCCTGTTATAATGTGGCCTAGGAAGTCCTGAGGTAAACTCGAGCAACCTTATTGGTTCTTACTTGGTCCGTAATTTGCCATAAGTTCCGTCTCCACGGAAACGATCATAAGTAGTGCATTTTTTGTCGAAAAAGTCAGCGAATTCACTGTATTTAGTCTTGTAACATGTCTAAATGAAAAAAGCCAACAAAACATTTTGAAGGATTATTAGGAAAAGTTTCCTTTGGGCTGTTTTTGAGAATACAGGGAAAAGTTGACCAAATGTTTGCGAATTAAGTGATAGTCGAGAGAAAATTACCAAAAAAATTTAATACATTATTACCCCATAAAATATTTATGGTTTCTGGAATGTTTGTTTCGAGCGCAGATTTATATATATGTATAACTAACTGCAGACAGTACTGTTTCGGACTTCTTGATCTCATATATATATATATATATATATATATCTGTGTGTGCCTGCGTGTGTGAACAGCTATATGGGTCTGTAAGGTCCTTGTGAAAAACTTGTCGGTCAGCAAGGATATTGCGCACTGGTGCAATTTTCATAGATCGTTCCCTGATCCAGACCACCCGCCATTCAGGACCCAGATTTAGCAACTCGGGAAATGTTAGTTCCAAGATTTCAAAGGGAAACTAATGAAAAAAGCGCGACATGACGCCTTGATGACATCCTGTTAGTCAAATTAAAGAGGGTTTACTTTTAGAGATACAAGTCTCGCTTGTGTGACTATCACAGGATCTATAGAAGTTATTTAGAGAACCTTACTTTTTATTAATGTTCCTTTCGAAACCAGCAATTGGCCAAATGCTGAACGTTGTCTTCCGAGAGAACTTAAGTTAGTTTTTTTTTTTTTTTCATTTAATCTAACACTCCTTTCGTTTTAAACTAAGCATGCGGGAAGACATACTATGCTGCAGTGAGAGATACAAGGGTGAAATACCTAAGTTATTAAAGACAGTTCATGTTCTTCAGCAGGATACTTTGATCTCTTTCTTCCCTCGATTTCAATTAAAAATAGTTGAGTGTAAACAATATTCTGGTTATGATCATGAAGAAGCTCTTAATTCAAGCAGGGATGAGCATGAAAAAAACAAAAGGAGTACCAAATTTTGCGGCGAAATTTAAACAAAAAACTGAGATGCAAATCGTCTATATTCCGTTTTCACAGCTGGTTTTTTGTTTTCGTTTGGAACACAAATATAGCAGGAAGAGAGACATAAAACTATTGGGTTGACGGACTTTTCACAAATGCAGCAGTCAAAAGAATAAATCATAATTCCATCGGGAGATAAAACTCGTTATGACTCTACAGTCAAAAATATGATCTAAAGGAAACCAGTAAGAAATAAAAATGTCCATTTTAAGGAAGAGAGATACAAAAGTCTTGGGCTGACGATCTTTCTTTGCTAATAGCCGTTTTACTTGCCTTGGTTTTTGTTTTCCTATTTAAAATTTTTTAATGACATTGCTTTCAGTTTAAAACGCCAAGTCGTAAATACTTTGTCGGAACCACTCACCTCCATTTATAAAGAAAGAGACAGTGAACCACGCAGCACAAAGGAGAGTGGATTTCAAACGATAAATTGCATTATGGCTTCCATTACAGTCCATCTTTTCACTGCAAAGGAAAAGAACTTGTTATCCTAAATACATTCACCTCGGGATATGATTACTGACAGTTCTGTTATTGGTTATCTGCAGGTGTAACGATTTATCACACGACAATAACAGAAACGGGACGTGTCGTTGACTAATAAGCTTCAACTGACGTATTGGCCAGCTGAGGATAAAAATCCCGTTAAAGTTATCTCTGTAGGAAATCATTGTAACAACCAAATGACGGAGTTTTACAACATTCTAGAAGAAATTCCGTGGAAATGATTTGTTAAGAGTCTTTAGAATAGGGAAGTATGTTTTCCTTGTCATTTTATTGAATTTTACCAATGCTCTTTTTGGTTAAATTTTCTAGGGTTGGTTGAAAGAATTATGAAAATTCAAATGCAAAACAAATATAGAATAAACAAATAACGCAAAAATGTAGAAACATAAAGGGATATCATAAGCATGATTCTACTTGTTTGAGGGCCAGAATAACAAAGACAGATAAGAAAAACATACATACAGCAAATGCCATTAGTTTCGCTGAAAATTCTGCAATCCAATTTTATTGAGTAAGGAGAAAAAGAAAAAACAGCAGAAGTTACTAATTAAACCTTAGCAAACACTATTGGGGAAAAAAGATATCTAAAAAAAATAGTTTTCCACGACATATTTTGCTACGTTATCAGCTTTTCAACATGTCAAAGGATTGTGTTTGAAAATGTCTAGGGGTGCTGTCCAAATAATAATTTTATTATGCACAAAGTTGTAATTAAATCTTAGCATATTAATCATTTAGAAATTCTTTTCAAATGCGCGCATCAAATATTTTCAGTGAGCTACGATAAACTATAGCATTAACATTTTTTTTCCTCTTTTGCACGGTTTCATCGTACTCCTTTAGCAAATGACATAGGTAAACTGAATGAATAATTTAGAAAAGTAAGTGTTGAGAGTTTGCAAAACGGCACCATGACAGCAAAAACAAACAAACAAAACAAACGAACAGCCATGCCAACTATATACAAATTAATAATTTATCTTTTAATTACCTCAGATTTTCGTGATATTAGCCGTGCTTTCAACACTGAACTACCACAAAAGGTGAAAAAAAGAAACATTATCGTCTTGAAATTAAATGTTTCTGCTTTGAATAACGCTCTTCCATATGCAAAGCTATAGCCGTAACCCCTAACAGCACATAGAAAAAAAGTCGCTGAAAAGTTTTCTGTAAGAAAGTTTCCAAAACATCCCTTCATTCCACCACAAGGGAAAAGAGCGCGGACTTGGTAGATTAACGTGAACTACCCCGGGAATAATCAGAAATAACACAATGACATGATCAATCACAGTTGAAAATCATCAGCGAATGCTTGAAAATAAGAAAACAACTACCATTCCAGTTCCATGTAAGCGCAATAGCGTTTTTCTGTAATTTTCCACAGAAAACAATTTTTTTAAACGCCATTGAGTAGCATAGTCTAAAATCTGAATCCGCTTTGTGACTTTGCCGTAACATGTCCCGTCAATACTGTGGGCAGAATAGAGAAAACTGATACATCTCAACTGAAATGGAAACGTTGGACGAATTTATCAAACTAAAGAAAAAGACGCTTGCAGATTTAGTTTCAACATTCAGAGTCAGACAAAACCAGCTAACTGTTAACATAAAGTGATGTTAAAACGAACAATTTGCTTACTGAATCAGACGTTGTTATGGGCTTAGCGTGAAACAAAGAACATAAGCAATAATTTGAACACGAAGGTTTGTACAAACAAAAGTGCCTCTTCACTAGGCTTTGCTAGGGTTGGGGTGCAGTGAGGATGAATCGCACAGCCTCCAACTTAAATAATGTTTAGGCAAGGTTGAATTTCAAATTTAAAACTTTGAGATCATGCGCAAGGCTACCTGTTGTCTAAACTGTTATCAGCCATGACAATCGAGGAAGAAAAGTGTTTATCAAACGTTACGATTTCTCTGCTTGTCAGTTCAATTTTTACTTGTTTCACAGTATGTTTATATACCCGAGAGGTCGTTAATTCGGAGAAAAAGTACTTAGCAAATAATAGGTTATAAGCTGTAATTTGGGCACATTCGATCATGTAACACCATCATGTCATATGTTTTTGTTGATGTTATTGTTTTTCAACATCAAGTATTATCGGTAATCAGTTTCAATATCAACACCTAAAGAGTTAATGTTTTGCATTGGTCTTACTCTTGATGTAAACTGAAGCCTCAAAAAAACCATAATACCAGAGACATAAAACTAATTGATTAACTAAAGTTCACCCCAAGATATACCTTGATCACAGCTAGCTCCTCCTTCAAATCCTTCCTGAAAAATACATCGATATCCCTTATTAGTGAACCCAGCTTGACATAATGCGTGACTTGGACATGGGCTGTGGAAAAAGAAAAAGTAATCAAAGGCTTCAGGAAACATTTGAAATAGTTAAACTTATTAAAACATAATATTTGTGTGGGAGCCAAAGTGAAAGTTTTCACGGACTTAACCGAACGATGATTCGGATGTACCTATGAAATAAACACAAACAGTAAGCCATGCAACTGAGAAACCAGTGTATGGGCTTGTAATCATCAACAACCGGTGCGCATGCTCTGTCATTAAAGAGACAGACATGGAGGGTGGGGAAGGTATTTGAAGATGCTTCCACCTCCAAAACGAGCAATGAAGGAATAATTAAATATATATATAAATTGTTGAAGTGGTTTTCACACTTGAAACTTTATAGGTAAAAAATGAAATTTAATTGCAAACCACCCGTCATGTTTTCCTGCCTTTAAGGCAGGTTACTGTTGCATGAATATATTTGATTTTTGTTTAGGACTCTCGATCCTAACATACTGTTAAAATCAAGTTTTGTTTCTTACCAAGATGTGTTGGTAGATGTAGTCTCCCATTTGTACAAAATCGCTGCTGGAGACTTGCAGGCGGTTGCGATTACTGAGCTCGCATGTTGGTGTATTACTGCACAATGGACCATAGTTGTAGGACACACAATTCGGTTCAAGAAAGCAGAGCGACATACACTGTGACTTTCTCGCACGCTGATATTTCTCATCACATGATCTTTCAAAATCTTATCCTTAGCGTCAAGCTCGAACTGAAGGATTCGGCAATCCGGTTGGAGATAGGTATTGAAAAATATATCATAACACTCACTGAATTGAATCCCATGAGATGCAATTACAACTGAATTATTCCATCAAAAAACTGTTTGAAAAGTGAGACATCTTTTATCAATCAACATATTTAGAGAAATATGATAATCGGAATAATTTATTTCTTTGTTTGCAGTGAAGATTAGATAGAAATAAACCATTTAGAATAGATATAAGGATAATCTGCTTGAAGGTCGTATTATGGGTTCTATTACCAAGTAGATTAGTTACACAGCTTAAGGGGTTAAGGCTCTTAGGAACTAAAACCCTTTCAAGTTGAAAAATTTCGTTAATACACTTCACAAAGTCGGTGATAAGTTCCTCTAGTTTATCAGAGTGAACGTCTCAGCTTCTGTAATAGCAAGTCAGCAAATTTAGTGTATAGGCCTGTTATGGCTGCTGAAGCCCGTGACCGACCTTAGCTGCTAAACGCTAAATAATTTCTTCATTTCATATCTATCTTTAACCTCGGTCACCTTTTTGAAAAGTTGTTTTGACCAAAAAAAGAAAATCGGAGCCAGACTTTAAATCTTCAACTAGCTTTTATCGAAAGGTTTTTAGAGTGCATCGTGGAGATTTTTCATTTCACTCTTCACAAATATTAATTAGTAATTTTGATTGATCTTAGTTGCACCATTGTTGATGTCAAGGAGACTCTTAATCCGCAAGGGGAAATAGAGATATTGGGCAGAATGCCTATTGTTCTCGCAACATTTACTTACGGTGGCGAAAATATTATAGATCTGTAATATATATAAGCGGCGACTTATAAAAGGGGAGGCTTTCATTAGCCGAATATCACTAGCGCTTTCCTACCCAAAAGGAATACTGCCTCAGCTCATTAACTTGTTAAGACGGAGCTAAGAAACAAAGGCCTCGTAACTTATTGTTTCATCGATTGTTTCTGATATCACACTTAAAGTGCGCGTTTTACACGCTCGCTATTTCAAGCGTTGTATTTTTAAAATTCAATTGCGTTCGATCTTTACCAAAAGCCATAACAGTTTCATCTCTCGCTACAACTTAATCAACAAATATTTTGCTTCATATCAAGCCTACGACAGTTTGATAAACAGCGGATGTTTCTATTACTTCTCGCTTGGGATTCAATTGTCCTATCGAAAAATTACTTATATCATAAATGAAGGACGAAATAAAGTCTTTGAATCGCTCTAACGCAAGTTTTTCGGAGTCGACGAAAGGAAAAAAAAAAAAAACGAACGAAGTAGAGCATAAGAACAAATGCGCTATGATTACAGTTTCCTTCGAGCTTTTTATGATAGTTCTATCACTGGTCTGGAACTGATCATCAGCATACTTTTCTTGATGCTTGAACACTTGTTCACAAGCCGAACATTATTTAGCGGTATTTACTCCCTACATTAATATTTCTCACCACATGGTTTGAGAGTATCTTATCGTTAGTTTCCAGCTCTAATTCAATGATTCGGCAAACTTATTATATTAAGGAGAGAGCTATCGAAGAATTTATCGCCAAGAAGTGGTTATTAGATACTATGACTTTCATATCGTTACAACTCGCTGAATTGAACCACATGAGATGCAATCACTTCTCATTTACTTCCATCATTAAAAATTAATTGAGATTGAGAAGTCAGACAGATTTCGTTAGTCAACATATTTGGAATTTTCGAGAAACATTCAAAGTACTAATAAAGCGCGTCCTACACTGTCCTTGTTTGTAGTGAAGTTAGGACAGAAATAAATTGCACTTAGGGTTTTATTATGAGTTGTGATTTTGCGCCCCTTCCCACACAGGGAATATTGCCCCAGCCCATTAACTCGTACTCGCGTATTATTGGTTTGTAAGAACAAACTATAGAAACCCCTGCTAACTCTTGGAACAATGAAATATTGTTTTGAAAACAAGGGATACAAATGCAGAGTCAATTTTCAGTTTTTATGAGATGAAAAAAAGATAAAGAGACGCGATTCATCTTGCAGTTTTAAGTATCTTGTGCATCGCTTTCCACGCGTTTCTTCTTTGCTCGTCCATCAAACAATTTATGAGGATAAATTTACTTTTAGCTTAATATACTCAATAAACATTGATTAATTCGTGATTAAATTCAACTGAAATATTGAGCAATGAAACCTATTTGAGCTGAATATAATCAGTCTTACTTCTAATATCAATTTAATTAAGGTACCACTTTTCATACGTAGGTGGAGACGCGGTGGCCTCATGGTTGGTGCGCTCGACTCCGGATCGAGTGGTCTGGGTTCGAGCCC